TGCCATAGATTCTTGGCATTAATTTTGTATCCTGCTACATTGCCAAATTCATTTATTAGGTCTAATAAATTTTTGATGGAGTCTTTAGGGTTTTCTAAGTACAGTATCATGTCATCTGAGAATAATGACAATTTTACTTCTTCTTTTCCAATTTGGATGCCTTTTATTTCTTCTTCTTGTCTGATGGCTTTGGCTGGCATTTCCAGTACTATGTCGAACAGGAATGGGAAAGTGGGCATACATGTCTTGTTCCTGTTCTTAGGGGAAATGGTTTTAGTTTTTGCTCATTGAGTATAATGTTGTGGTTTGTCATATATGGCTTTTATTATGTTGAGGTATGATCCCTCTATTCCCACTCTGCTGAGAGTTTTTATTAAGAAAGGGTGTTGGACTTTGTCAAATGCATATTCTGCATCAATCAATGTGACCAACTTTTTTATTAAAAATTTTGGTCTTTTTTTCCCTTTCTCTTCCACCTCACTATTAACTCTTTCTTTTGCTGTTCTTCTATTTTCCTGTCCGGCACTTTCTTCCCTAACCGATTATTATTTGAGATAAAGTTTTTTATTCTTTGTTGTATTCTGAACCTGTACACTTAAAAATTTTTTTAAAATGTCAAAAGTACGTTGTTTAAAAACCTGTTTTTCACTTTTAGTGTAGATAACTGAAAATTTATAATAGTAAACCAGGGAAATAGAATTTCTGATTAAAGGGGCTATTGAAGGTCTAGTTCAAAATGCCAACATGTTTATTGCATATGACTTTGCAAAAAATTTATTATTGGATTAGTATTTTTCATTACAAGAAAAGATTAAAGTTTTATATTATGCCACCTCCTTTCATCATTCCCTATAATAATTGCACATTCCACTCAAATATGAATTCTCTTCCTCTAGATGATTTGGAGTTCAGAGGTTTTTTTAAGAAGAGCTTTGTTTCCTAATTCCTAATATTTTTCTTTCTCATTTGCAGCATTATACATGTACTGCAGATAACTTGGACAAAAGAGGAGGTATAGAGAAGAATTTCAGTATGTAGATTTAACCTCTAACTTTCTTTCCTTTTCTCTAATACTTATTATCTGTTGATAAATTAGGAGTACACACAGGCGTATGCACCCGGGCGCGTGTACACACACACACACACACACACACACACACACGAGATACTCAGTGTTGGCAAGACTATAAAGAGGAGAAAGGTAAAAAGCAAACAATTGCGGAGGAAAAGCATTTGCACAAATATGAAAACCATTGGTTGATGTATTTATGATATCACAATCTAGTATGTATAATCAAGAAATTATAAAGTGTCAGTATCTTAGAATTGTGTATGAACTGTGGTCGCTGATCACTTACGCTCAGAGGATGCGGAGCAGTGGGAGATGTGTGGAGGAGGCACCGCCAATAGGGAGAAATGACAGCTCGCGTGAGAGAAGTGATAGTGGCTGGTCCTTAGAGACTGTCCAGTGCAGAGGCAAATAGTATCACAACAGGATTTTGTTTGCTCCAAGTGCGACACTTCAGTATGGTAATTGATGTGTCTAATGATGAGCCAGTCTGTAAGTACCACGTGCAATTGTGTGCAAAGACGTTTTATTGTAAAATGCGTAAAAAAAAAGTTGTTTTGGTGTGAGGCGGGTAGACGGCTTCTTTTCTTGAGTTACTGAATAAATCAGTGAGAAACAGAATTAAGGAGAGCAGGCTTTTATGCTTGGCAGGTCTAGGTGGCGCATTTACTTGACATACGTTGCTTATATTACTCTCTTGGCAGATTCTCCAAATATCGTGTTTTTTTTGTGTGTGTGTTTTTTTTTTTTATGGCAATGCTTTTATATGAACAAGTTTTTTTGTTTTTGTTTTTTTTAAGGTTGATTGCAGTTAAATGGTGAGAATCTTGTGGTGCGGTCAAAACAAAATATATACTCTGTATATGACAAATGTTAGTATTATAACTTATCTGAAATGGTTCAGTTGCGTTGCAGTCAAGAAATGGAACTTTTTGTTCACCATGAGTTTCCCGCCTCTGGCTTCCTCACAATTCAGTGCAGTGTTGCAATCAATGAACACTTTTCTGAGTGCCCTGTTTGAAATGTTTGTGTTTGGGAGGAGAGCTCCCAAATTATATTTCCATATCTAGTCCCTATAAGCATTTAAATTTGACTTATCAAAGCAATGAATAATCTTTCATTTGTGGCAGAATGTTTAATAAACAGCACCGAAGTGACATCGTGGAAACACAAGAAGCTTAAGATGTTCTGTTAATGTTTTAAATCTGTATCTTTTTTTTAATTTAAGATGGGGGGTAGGAAAGAAAAGAGAACTTCAGATTTTTATGTTTAATCGAACAAACAGCATGTGCTGACAAGTAATAAATAACAGCAGTCCGAAGTGACTAAATAAATTGCTTTCCACAAGCAATGATTCATCTTCTGTCTTTCATTGCCATCAGGCTAGGAGACAGCTTCTTTTTGTCAGCTTATAGGGAAAAATTTGATAGTATAACAGTCCTGTTTCTGTTCCCGCAATAGAAGCTCATTATCTTCTATAGTAGCTGCATTTTAAAATATTTAAATACAATAATTAAGTCTCATTTGGTTGTTCATTTACCTAAAACTTTGTGAAGCTCTAATTGCTCAGTCTTTTTTGGTGTTTTGCAATATTCTGGTAAAATCACTCCCCCTAATTTTTTCATCTTGGTAAACAGTTCTTGAACACTCATATAGCATGCATACTCTGCTGTTGTCTGGTGTTCTATAAATGTCAGTCAGGTCAGGTTGCTCAATAGTGTTGTTCAAATCTTCTATATTCTGCCTGATTTTCTGCCTATATTTCTTTACTTACCGAGAGAGGGTATATCGTTTTTGCAGCATAACAAATTACCAAAAAATGGGCTTAAGACAGCACACATTTATTATCTCACAGTTTCCATGAGTCAGGAACCTGGGGAAGATGTAGCCGGCCCTTTGCTCAGGGTCGCAGAAGAATGCAATCAAGGTGTCAGCTGGGGCTGTGGTCTCCTCTGGGGCTTGGCAGCCTTCCAAGCCCAACCAGGTGGTTGTTGGCAAAATTCACTTCCGTGCAGCTGTAGAACCCGTGGCAGCCTGGTTTTCCAAAGAGTCTCTGACTTCTTCCATCTTTAACCTCCAGATCCTATGTTGAAGGGCCCACCTGATTAGGTCAGGCCTGTTCAGGATAATGCTCTTATTAACTCAACTGACAAGTGATCTCATTGGTGCAAAATCCTTCATTTTTGCCATATAACATAATGTAACCACAGGAATGAAATATCATATATTCCAATCTTGTCTAGGAATTATACAGGGCATCAATAGCAAGGTTGAGAATTTTGGGGTGCTCTTAAAATTCTGGCAACCACATGGGAGTATTAAAATCTCCTACAATAATTTGTGAATTTGTTTATTTCTCCTTGTCATGCTGTCATTTTTGCTTCATGTATTTTGAAACCTGTTACTAGGTGCATTGATGTCTAGGATTGTTACATCCTCTTTAAAAATTGATCTCTTTATCATAATGAAATAACAGTATTTTCCCCAGTAATGCCCTTTGCTTTGAAATCTTTCTTTTTCCTGTTTGTAATATAACAACTTCTGCTTTCTGATTTTCTTCTTACTTTTAATCCTCACCCAAGGATCTGTTTTTCATTGATTCTAGAGAGAGAAAGGAAGGGAGAGGGAGAAAGAGAAACATCGATCAGTTGCCGCCGATATGCACTCTGACTGGGGTTGGAACATAAAACCTGGGTCTGTGGCCAGACAGGAATTGAGCCCTCAATCTTTAAGTGCACAGGATGATGCCCTAACCAACTGGGCCTCTCCGGCCAGGGCCACTTCTGCTTGGAATATTAATGTTGATTGCATGTAACATTATTACATTTAAAATTGTTTTTCTTGAAAAAAATATGTTGAAAAAAATATTTTGATTAGCGTTAGTATGGTATATCTTTTCAAATTTTTTCATCTATTTGTGTCTTTAGATTTAAGTTATGTTTCTTGTAGGCAGAAGATGGTCAGGTCTTCCTTTTCTATTCAGTTTTACAATCTTGACCTTTTATTTATTTGTTAGATTTTCTTTACAGTGTATTTGTATGTAGCATAGCATTTGTAACACTGTCTCTCACCTTTTATATACCTTTTGCAATGTATTTCTATCATTTATTTTGACAGCTTTGTTGGTATGTAATTTACAGACCTTAAAGTTCACCCTTTTAAAGTATACAGTTCAGAGGTTTTTATAGAGTTGCACATCCACCAACACTATCTGATTCCAGAACATTTTCATCACCCCCAAAAGAAACCTCATTCCCATTAGCAGTCACTCCCCAGGCCCACCTTCCCCTGGTAACCACTGATACACTCTCAGTCTATGAATTTGCCTACTCTGGATATTTCATATAAATGGAATCATACAAGACATGGCTGTTTGTATTTGTCTTTTTTTAAATATTTTATTGATTTTTTACAGAGAGGAAGCGAGAGGGATAGAGAGTTAGAAACATGGATGAGAGAGAAACATCGATCAGCTGCCTCCTGCACACTCCCTACTGGGGATGTGCCTGCAATCAAGATACATGCCCTTGACCGGAATCGAACCTGGGCCCCTTGAGGCCGCACTGATTTTTAGAGAGAGTGGAAAAGAGAGGGAAAGACAGGTCTTTTTTGTTTTTAAGGTTTATCCATGTTGTAGCATATGTCAGTACTTCATTCTTTTTTATGGCCAAATAATTTTCCATTGTGTGGATACATCACATTTTGTTTATCCATTCATTGGTTGACTATTGGGTTATTTCCATTTTTGGGCTACTGTGAATAATGCTGCTATGAACATTCACACACAAGTTTTTGAATGGACACCCACTTTCATTTCTCTGGCAGTGGAATTGCTAGGTATATGTTTAGCTTTTTGATGAACTTACAGACTTTCCAAAATTACCATATCGTTTGGCATTTCTACCAGCAATGTATCAGGGTTCCAATTTCCTTGCCATCACTTGTTATTGTTTGTCTTTTTTCTTTCAGTATTTTATTTTATTCTTTTAATCCTCACTTGAGGATATTTTTACACTGATTTTTAGAGAGAGTGGAAAAGAGAGGGAAAGACAGAGAAACATCGATGTGAGAGAACACATCAATTGGTTGCCTCCTGCACACACCCTGACCAGGGCCCGGACCAGAAAGGAGCCTGCAACCCAACCAAGATACGTGCCCTCGACTGGAATAGAACCCGGGACCCTTCAGTCTGCAGGCCGGTGCTCTATCCACTGAGCAAAACCGGCTAGGGCTCTTTCAGTATTTAAACATGTTGCTTCCCTGGGTTCTCATTGGCTTGTTTCCAGTGAGAAATCTCCTGTCATCATTGTCCCTCTGCACATAACGTCTTTCTCTGACTGCTCTTACAGTTTTCCTTATTCCTGATTTTGAGCAATTTGATTAAAATTTGATTTTGTTTCTAGTTTTCTTTATGTTTCTTGTGCTTCGAGATTCATTGGTATTTTGGATTTGTGAGTTTATTATTTTTATCAAATCTGGGAAATTTTAAGTGATAATTTTTTCAAATATTTATTATTGCTCCTTTTTTTCTTTTGGAGACTCCACTGATGCATGTATAATAGTGTACTTCAAATTTTTAATCAAAGCTCACTGATGCTCTGTTCATTTTTTAAAATTCTCTTTTCTCTCTGTCTTTCAAACTCACCAATCTTTTATTCTGCAATATCTAATCTGCTGTTAACATCATATGATACATTTTTTATATTAAACATTGTAATTTCCAATTTAAGAAGTTGAATTTGTGTCTTTTTAGATCTTCCATGTCTTTGTTTAACATTTTGAACATATAAAAATAGTTATAATAACTTTTTTGTGGATAGTGCAACATTTATTTTTTATTTTATTTTTCAATCACAATTTACATTCGATATTAGTTTGTATCAGTTTCAGGTGTATAGCATAGTGCTTAGACAATCATATGCTTTACCAAGTCCCCAGCTATTTCCAGTACTGCCTGGCAG